CAGTAGCTGGGCCCTGTACCAGAAGGGTGTAGGATCTCAGCAGGGCTCTGGCACCTCAGTCAGTGTTGCTTCTGGCCAGAGCTTTGGGTCGACTCAAGGCTTCAGTTCCCAGGCTGCCTCTAGGCTTGGTGGTAGTGGGTCTGTGAGCCCAGAGTATCAGCTTAGCTCAGGTTTAAGTGTGAGCCCTGGAACAGGTTGGCTCAAGAAGTCCTTGCAGCATTTCATCCCAGGTGAGGCAAAGGGCTCTTTTGGGTCATGTGCACACATCCATGTGACTACATCTGATGGCATCTCTTTCACAGGGAACTAATTGTCCAGCTCGGAATTGATGGTAAGCTGGGAATTGACCATATCAATGTTTCTACTGTGCCTGGTCTCTGCTCATCATGGCTCTTTTGTAGGTTCTGCTCCTTTGGGTCCGAACTTGGAAGCTCTTCCTCTGACTTGTGTACTTGGCTTCAAATAAATGGCTTAATGAACTCCTCCTGTGATTCCTTGTGGTTTGTGACTGCCTGCCATTGTCAGGCAGATCTGTAAGGTGTACCTTCCCTCAAACCTCAGTGGTCCACTAATGCCAAATGGCCAGTCTGATCACAACTTGATACTCTTGGTCTGCTGCATTGTATCTCAGCCTGGAGTGGTGTGTGTGTGAATCATGCAGTCATGATGTTGGTATTTCATTTGTTACTTCAAATGTTGGTTTAGTTTGCCTGCAGGACACAATGGGTTACTTGTTGCCCAGCTTGGCAATATCATATAGGTTTGTATGTCTTTGTGGGGACTCCTTTCATTACTAGGTGGGAACTTTAATCCCAACCTTGTGAATGAGGCAGCCCAACCCAATCATGCCTGACTCTGCCTTCAGCTTTTACAGTGATGTGATTTGGCTAATGGATGAGTATAGCCAAACTGCATTTGTTCTGCCAAATGCATGTTACAGTAAATCATTTTTGGTTTTGCTTTGCAATGTGTTAGTCTATTCTCTCAGCTCATATGTGCAAGTGTGGAAGTAAAATTGGACATTAGTAGGCCTGGGAGGGGAGGCATATTGGGTTTATGTCTTTGGCCTTTAGGCCAGAAGAGATTGTTTTGAATACTGTGTGACCTCGATTTGTGATAGCTGCCTGCAGGTGGCTCCGCAGAAGCTCGGACCTTGGAGGGGCAGACAGTGGAGCAAAGGGGGGGGGGGAGAAACCACTTGCAGGAAGAGACTCGAAGTCACCCCAACTGGTGCACAAAGAGTTATAGCTTAATATAGTAGTAGTAGTAGTCAATATATAATGTTATGCAATTGATCGCATCATGTTAATCATACTAATCATGTTAACCATATATTTGCAGTGAGTCAGGGACAATGTCAATCAATGGAACACCCAAACATTAAGTGATTCAATGTCGTATAATTAATATCTATATACATATCTCTAGAGTCTAGAAGCCGAGGCTGTCTCCAGTAAGTTCCGTACAATGGGTGGACTTTACCTTGCTACCAAAGTGAACCAATGGAGC